TTTCCAGAGGGAGGGCTGCTGAGGAGTAAAACTCCTCTGCGGGGTTAGCAGTGCAGGGGCTCACAGGGCATGATGCACCCCAATGTAGTTCGTTGTTGGGGCTGCCCTGAGGTGTGTAGCGCAAAAATATGGATGTGAAGTCTCTCCTGAAATGCCATTTTCTTTACATTACATGGCATTACTAATGGTACTATTGCTTTAACTTGGGCTAAAGTCACAAACTGCAGACCGGTGTTTAAATCCTGGGTATTTGCATCCTTTCCATTAAATACTCTTTGACTTTTGTAGGTTTTATTGACCGTGGATGGCATGTGTTTCACTGCGGAAAGCTGTCTGCTTCTCCATCAAACATCTGCTTTACTCCTGTCAGCATATACCCCCAAGCTCCGGCTTGCTCCGAGGTGGTACTGACGTCACCCTGCAATTCGGCACAGCGGGGCGAAGGAACGTCTTGGGGATAGATGATATTCCCTGTAGGCAAGGTTGCGGAGTCCAGCTGGGAACGCCTCCGTCTCAGGGCACGGCTGGGACAAGGCTGAAGCCTTTGCAGAGCGGCAGCCCCGAGCGGATCGCTCCTGTTTTTTTTTCCCTGGGCTGGCTGCACACTCATGATTCCTGCTTCTGCTGGGATTAACCCGTATTTTCCAAAATTTTAGAATCGTGAGGCATTAAAAACTGAATAAAAATAGCATCGTGATAGAATAATGCTGCTACGGTTCCAAAAGTAACGAAAAGCGCTTTTTCCAGCTAGGGTAACGTAAGAGAAGTTCTAACCCTTCAGGGTCTTACATGCCAAAGGCAACCAATTCTCAAACAATTTCCCCCGAAGTCTCCACAGCAGCCTGTTTACATTTCTGCAAGTGGCTGTAGCTGCTGCAGACTGGCAGGCTTCGCCTTCCTTCCCGCGCTGAAGGAAACCGCGCGGATAGCGGACAGAGCAGCGACGCGGCGCTCGTGTGCCGCACTTCCACCGCCCAACGGCGCCTGTGTTTCCCCCGGCGCTCCTCTCTCCTCCACACACGTACAGACGGCCTGCCCCTCCTCTGCCGGACACACCGCAGCCAAGGGAGAGGTTTCCCTCCAAGTCTGCTCTCCTCGTTTGACTGTATTTCAAAATTTTCAATGACTTCGTTGTGATAAAAGCTTCCCGGGCAGAGAATAACGACAAGACGATGCCTGTGAGCCTGCAGGGCTTCGTGTTAACCCTGGGAAGCTGCTGTCGGGTTCTGCTTGAAAAGCCCCTTTTCTATTTCTGTGCCGAGCTCCTGGGTGAGTGCGATTCCCTGTGAGCAGCCTGGGTTTTGCAGCACCAGGGTGGGTGCAATCCCCTGAGAGCAGCCTGGGTTTTGCAGCACCAGGGTGGGTGCAATCCCCTGTGAGCAGCCTGGGTTTTGCAGCACCAGGGTGGGTGCAATCCCCTGTGAGCAGCCTGGGTTTTGCACCACCAGGGTGGGTTCAATCCCCTGTGAGCAGCCTGGGTTTTGCAGCACCAGGGTGGGTGCAATCCCCTGTGAGCAGCCTGGGTTTTGCAGCACCAGGGTGGGTGCAATCCCCTGTGAGCAGCCTGGGTTTTGCAGCATCAGGGTGGGTGCAATCCCCTGTGAGCAGCCTGGGTTTTGCAGCACCAGGCGTCCCCGTGTGTGGCCACCTTGACAGCGTGCGGCTTCGTGCCCCTTCTGGCAAGGAGCATGAGGACGGCACACCTAAGTGGGCCTGGAGAAGAGCCGGTTGCACAGGGCCGGGGAGCAGGATCTATTAACACCCCGTGGAAACCACACCTATGATGGGGAAATCGTTCTTGCCAGGAGCGTTTCCGTGGGATCTGGAGCTGCACACTGCGGCGAGCTCCGCAGCGCAGCCCAGCTGTGTCTGGTGCAAGTCCTCCGGCCGGTGGCAGGGCTGTGTGGCACTGCA